TGGGGGGAGTGGGGACGAGGGGTGCGGGAGCCGCCTCCAAGAGGGGTCTGGGGTCCCGAGCTGGAGGAAGGCTGTCTCAGGTCCTGCTGGGTGGGCCGAAGTGAGCCCTTGGCCAGCTGCCAGGCCACATCCTGCCCAGTGTGGGGTCCCAGCACCCCCTTCCTCCCATGCCCAGCAGCTGCGGGTCGGGGCCGTTGAAATGTGAGTCTGGGGATGGAGATGGCATGGGAGACACCTCAGAGCTTCACCCTGAGTCCTCGGGAAGCCCAGATGGCTCCCACGTCCAGCAGAGACAGCTCCTGGTCACGTGCAAAGTCACAGCCTCCCTGTGTGGGAGCAGCTTCTGGGGGGAGGTGTTGCAGCCAAGCCATGTGGGCTGAGGAGCTGGACCCCTGGGAGGGACAGATGAGCTGGACAAGGCCCTCTAGGGCTGGCTGGGGCTGGGGGCCTGTCACCCCTATTCGCCTGGAGGGCCGGGAGCAGCCCTAAAGAGGGAGGGACTCAGCCCAGCTGCTGAGAGCCTGCCTCGTCTGCACCCAGATGAGAAGCTCTGTTCTGAGACAGACTGCGTGTGTGTCCAGCCTGAATTCCACTGTGGAGACCCTCAGTGCGACAGCTGTGAGCACCACCCCTGCCCGCCGGGCCAGGGCGTGCGGGCTCAAGGTGAGTCCCGGGGGGTCTCTGGAGGCAGCAACGAAGCCTGAGCAGGCCGGGGGTTTGACCGGGGAAGCAGGTTTTGTACGGATGTGTGTGCGTGCGTGCGCGTGCGTGTGCGCGTGCGTGTGCTCGTGTGGGGGGGTGCAGGCACCTTCTCAGGCTAGTAGCACTAGTGTCCCAGGCACCGCAGGGCCTGGTGGGCCGGGCCATCCTCAAGGGCACCCATTGGCTCTGCTGCTCTGAGAGAGTCCTTCCCTCTCTCCATCTAGAACCATGGCACTGATGACCCCTCAGGGCTGGTCAGTAGGGCCAGTGGGGGGTGTCCGGGGCTGTCTGACTCTCAGGCTGTAGCTGTGACTGTGGCCCAGGTCCTACCAGCTACCTCCATGGGGACAGATGGATAGAGCCAGCCCTACGTCCCCAGGAGTCTGGGGTCTGGACCGCTTTTCTGGAAAGCGCAGCTCAAGTCCTCTTGGAAGTCTGCTGGCCTGAAGGGAGGGGTCAGATTGAGTAGCAGGGGCCGGGGAGGGAGAACTGAGAGGGGTGTGTGGGGTTGGGCAGCGCCTGAGTTCCGCTGGGACCCAGCCCCACCATCTCTCCAGGACCCTCTGCCCTTCAGTCTCCTGGACCCAGCCTCGGCCTCGCTTGCTCCCGGCCTCTTCCAGCCTCCAGCGGGCAGCTCCTCCCATCTTCTCCCCCATGGCCCCCAGAGAACCTTCACCCACCCCAGGCCTCGCAGCCTCTAGGTCCCCCTAACTCTGCCAACTCCCAGATGCCCATCCTGGAACGGGCACCCTTGGGCAACTAGTTATCCTGGAGACCTCTGTTGAATGGACGACGTTGGGGGGAGGTGTCATTCTACTACAGACCCTGACCCCAGATAGACCTCTGCACTGCCTTGACTCCATCGTTGCCACCCCAGGAACCTCCACAGCCTGTCTGTCTGTCTGTCCCCAGGGAAGATCAGTTTTGGCTTTGAGTGTGTTGACTGTGCCTGGGGAACCTTCTCTGCAGACCGCAAGGGCCACTGCAAACCTTGGGCAGAGTGAGTCCTGGTTGGGCCTTCTGGTGGCTGGGCAGTCCAGGCATGCCTTGAGGGAGGCCTCTCCCGTACCTCCCAGTGTGGCGACCCCTGAGGGTCCCCTACCACCCCCCAAACAGCTCAGAGGACAGTGGGGCCACTTTGGTGGCCGAGGGCTGATGCCTCCGTGTCCATGTGTCCCAGCTGCCCCCAGTTTGGGTTTCTCACCATGTTCCCTGGGAACAAGACCCACAACGCCGTGTGCATCCCGGGTCTGCTGCCCGCTGAGCCGCAGGGCTGGCTGACCATCGTCCTCCTGGCCGTGGCCACCTGCATCCTTGTCCTGACCGCAGCCCAGCTTGGCCTGCACATCTGGCAACTGAGGAGACAGCACGTGTGGCCCCGAGGTCAGCTGTGTCCTGGGGGTGGAGAGGTGGGTCCTTGGCCTCCTGCGGACCGTGGCCCTCCTGCAGAGACCCAGCTGCTCCTGGAGGTGCCGCCCGTGGTCGATGATGCCTGCAGCTGCCAGTTCCCTGAGGAGGAGCGGGGGGATCCAGTGGCCGAGGAGAAGGGCCGGCTGGGGGACCCATGGGTGTGAGGCCTGGCCATCCTCGGGGACAGCCAGACCCTGAGCCAGACCCTCCGCAGGAGCTCACCCAGGCCGACCCTCAGGAGCAAGGGCTCTGCATGCTGCCCTGGGCCCGGCCCCGCTCCCCTCGACGGTGGAAGTGGGTTTAGGGTGATGACATTGCAGAGTCCCCCAGATCATGCAGAGGGGCAAGAACAGACAGAGCTGTGGCTGCCTCCTTCGCCGGCCCTGCCAGGGTGGGGTGTGTGGGCCCCTCATCCCCAGGACTGGAAGCAGGTGGCATTCAATAAACACTTGTCCAGTGATCTGAGTGGATATATACCGAGGACAGGGGTGAAGGACAGGGAGTACGGGGCTGGACTTTGGGCAACTCCATGACCTGTGCCCATGGTCTCCTCCATAGGGTGCAAAGGGGAGGGGGCAGCCAAGGCCTGTCCTCTGAGTGCCCAGCCTGGGTGGGGGTGGGGCACAAGTTGGGGGCCATTGCAGTCCTGGGCACGAGTGCTTGGCAGGGACCACCAGGCTCAGAAGGCTTCCTGAAGGAGGCAAGCTGTGCCAGACATCCATCCCCTGGGCCTCTGTATCCAACCACCCCTCGACTGTCTGCCTGGCATGTGTCCTGGGCCTGTGGTCTCTGGGCCACCGCTGCTCTGGATGCCTGTGGGGACTCTGGGTTCTGGCCGCACAGCCTGCTGGTCTCTCGGAGCACCTGCCCTTGCCTCGCTCTGTCCCATGCCCAGGCTTGGTCAATTTCCACATTAGCTAGTGGGAGCAGGGCAGCTCAGAGTGGCCTGGCTTCAGTCCCTGGCCCTCTCTTCTGGCCCAGTCCTGCTGCCTGTCTTCCTGGGTCCTGCCCAGCTGCAGCGCTGGCTCTTGGTGAGATCTGATAGGACTCCTTGGCACAGTGTCCAGGGAGTGGCAGCCAGGCAGGCCAGTGGAGACCAGTCTGCTGCAGAACCCTGGAGCACCGCACCCCTGGCCACCGCCCAGGGGCCCAGAGCTCCAGTCCCCCATGATGATCCCCCATCTCAGCTGCCTTCACACAGGTCAGCTCCGGATGGGCAGTGGGTGGTGGGCCCAGCTCACAGCAAGTAGACGGAGGAGAGAGATCTGTCGCCCCCGCTGCTCCCCAGCCCCCAGGCTCATATGGGAGAGACTGGACAGGGCACATCTAGTCTGATGGGGGTGGAGGACGTTGGGATCCCAGAATTTGAAGAGCCCAAAGGCCACCTGGTAACAGGCTAGATGGTGGACAGCCGACTTCCACCCCTGCAAGGAGGGGACTCCGCCATGCTCATGACTTTACAGAGCGCCCTCTGTGTGCCCGCTGGGGCCCGGGCCCGGGCTCCGGGCTCCGGGAGGCACCGAAGTTCGCTGGCTCTGGGCGGGCTGGACCCAAAGGAGGGGACAGCAGCCAGGGCACGGGAACGCGTCTCAGCGGCACACCGGCGTGCCCGCAGCCGCCCCGGACTTTCCCCAGAAAGCACCCGTGGGTGCCCAGGCGCAGGCCCGCGGGCTGACTCAGCGCGGAAACTTCTCGTGGGCGGCCCGCGTGGGGCGCGGCGCAGAGACGTCAGCGCGGGGGCGAGGGGCCGG